GCGTGGCGCTAACATGGCCTACCTCCTGCTCTATGTGGATGACATCATCCTGTCTGCGTCTTCCTCGACATTGTTGCACATTTTGATTGCCTCTCTTCGTACCGAGTTCAGTATGACAGATATGGGTGATCTTCATTATTTTCTGGGCATCTCTGTCACACGCAGCAAGGACAATATGTTCCTCTCACAGGAGAAGTATGCATTGGATCTTCTTGACCGAGCTGGCATGTTTCAGTGCAAACCTATCTCTACTCCTGTTGATACTTCCTCCAAATTTTCAGCCAAGTCCAGTGATCCAGTTGCAGATCCCGTCGAGTATCGCAGTATTGCAGGCGGTCTTCAGTACCGCACATTCACTCGGCCAGACATCTCTTATGTTGTGCAGCAGATTTGTCTTCATATGCACGATCCTCGGGCTAATCATTTGCTCCTTGTGAAGCGTGTGCTTCGCTACATCCGCGACACCACCGGCCATGGCCTCACTTTGTTTTGACGCAGCTCCAACAAATTGATGGCCTACTCTGACGCTGACTGGGCAAGTTGCCCTGACACTCGCCGGTCTACATCTGGTTATTGTGTCTTCCTCGGCACTAACCTCGTCTCATGGTCTGCTAAGCGGCAACACACGGTCTCTCGCTCCAGCGCTGAGGCCGAATACAGGGCAGTTGCAAATGTAGTGGCTGAAACATGTTGGTTACGGCAACTTCTTCAGGAGCTTCATCGACCGGTGACTAGTGCCACTATGGTGTTTTGTGACAATGTGAGCGCTGTTTACATGACACAGAACCCCGTTCATCATCAGCGCACCAAGCATGTGGAGATCGATCTACACTTCGTACGAGACCGTGTCACCACAGGCAAGGTCCGGGTTCTTCACGTTCTGAGTTCTTCACAATTTGCGGGCATCTTCACCAAAGGATTTCCATCCCCTCTCTTTTTGGATTTTCGGGACAATCTTAACATTCGCGGACGCCCGTTTACGACGGAGGGAGGGTGTTAGAATATATAACCGTATTTGTTTTGTATATATATGGTTGTATATATGTAGTCCTTGTATAGGTGTTCGTATATTGTACGATATGAACTCTGGCTTGTAACCTCTATATATTGATCAATACAAGGCACCACAACGTGTGGTTTCTCTAATCTTACATGGAGAACTCCGATGCTTGGGCACCAACTTGTAGATAGGTTAGGATTAGTTTTTGGACGCCGATATGCACCCGATGTTCGGTCTAGCAGACAAGGGGAGCCCCAAAAGGATGTTTGTGGCGTCTCCAACGGTGATGATGGTGAAATGATCAAGATCCTCTTCATTTGCATTATGATGACTGCGCATATGACGACTTTGCTAGTGTTAGTTTTAGCTTAACTTGCCAGCTCCCTGTGCCGGTTGTGTGCTGTTGGAAATGTCGCTAGTGGACATGCTCTGTGTCGATATGTGTACCATTTCAGTTTCTAGCTCTCCTCGTCTTGCGAACGTAATGCAGCCTAGCTAGGAATCGGGAGGCTGCCTTTGGCTGGAATCCTGGAACTGTATCACGCTGGTTTCGTTTCGATACATGGAAACGGGGAGGCTGCCACCGTATTCATTGTCTGAGAAAAAGGGAGGTGAAACAAAACCGATCACAAAGTTTTTTCCTAGCTCGAGCTTCACGGTCCCTTCTATCTAGACGGTTGGTTTTGTTTTGGGATATGTGCAGCTCAGAGTGTCACGAGACATGCATCTGCTCACTTCACGGGCCAGGAAAGAGCTGTCCTGCGACTAATGAGCGAGGACACATGACATATCATGTCATCAACAGTACCACAAGCCACTGTTTATTGATTGAGATAGCACACCTTTTCTGACACGGCAGACCAAGAATCTCACATGCGGTCCTCAACCCATGACCACTGGTTCCTCACCCCGAATTGTTTCTACCTCCCATGTGAAGAAGGTAGAGAGAGGAGAGGGAGTATTTTTTTCAGTTTTGCTAGAACTCATCTAGATGAGATATAATTTGGTCTCATTCACCTTTTATAGTCATTGGATGTGATGCTATAAGATGCGTGTGTGCTGACGTGGGTTGTATTTGTTCTTGTTTTCAAAGTGAATGAGACCAAATTATATCTCATCTAGATAAGTTCTAGGTACTCCCTATTTTTTTTTCTAATCCCATGTGTGTGAGAGAGAGGGCAAATGGCAGGATGAGAGAGAACATATTCATCACGTTGTAAAAAAGGCTGTGAGAGAAGAGAGAGTAAATAATGGTGTATTCCATGAGAGAGAGAGCAGTGGTTAAAGTCTTGGGAGGAGAGAGAGCGGCTGTGAGAGAGCCGATCGAATGAAAGAGATTCACGTGCCCGGTCCCTTTAGCAGGACTGCAGGACTTGACATGCCTATGTGAATAGTAGCCTAGGAGGCATATGACTCCGCAGGCGGTGTATTAGGCATTGATCCACCTGACATGCAGCTGCAGCTGTCAAAACAATGCGGATATCTCGATGTACCTGAGTCAAGTTTGAGCGGCCACGATACAGGGTACCATGGAGCTCGGCCTATAAAAATCTGCAAAACCGATGTATGAATGCTTATATATGTTTATTCGAGCGTTGAATCCACTGTTCAATGCGGAGCCATGAACGCACGCACGCACGCAGTAATCCTTTCGGCAGTTTCGGTCGTTCGTCGATCGGGTCGAGGCCAATGTATATAAACCGGTCGAGCTAGTCGCGTTGTGCATCTACGTACGCGTCTCCGTCTCAGTCAGTGTGATCTCGAGCTTTCGACTGACCACCGACAGTTTCCAGGCGCCGGTCGGAGGGGAAACAGATGGCTCGCGCCGTCCTGGTCGCCGCGCTCGTCCTCTGCGCCGCCGCCGCCCTGGCCCACGCCGGCCGCGTCATACCAGAGGAGGAGCAGGAGCCCCGCGTCCTCGATGCTGCGTCGTGGCTGCAGCCGCCGGCCGAGGCTCCGTCGCCGTACGCCGGTGGCGCGAAACTGAGAGACAGCGGTAGCACCGGACGGTACGTCGTCGACGTGCTGTGGTTCGTGATCAAGTGGGCCAAAGACGCCTACGCCGCCGCCGGCAGACGCAAGCTCCAATGAAGTCGGCGGCCGGCGTTCGTCCTAGCTGCGTCCGTCGTGCTCTCTGGTCGCCTCCTCTGACCCTAGAACGGAGAACGGAGTAAGAACGTAATAACGTTGCACGCATCTATGCGTCCATGTCATTTGTCAGTGAAGATTCAACAATAAAAGGATATACTTGCCACTTTTGTTCCCGCTCTGGTTTACATACACATGCTAGCTTGCTCAGGAAGTGCTGCACTTTGTAGTACGTTGTGTGAGATGTTGTTCGTGCAGTCTTCTGAAATTTCACCCCGCTTACACAATAGAGCTTCTCTCTGTTCCTCCTGTTCTGCGATGCAATGCAAGTTACAGATGCTGCTTAGGTTGGGCTGCCCCATTGCACAGCAGGGCGGGAGCAATGGGCTTTATGTCCGGCCTAATGGGCCACCATAGATGAAGCCCACCTCGCAGCTGCAGTTCTCTCGTCGGAGACCCCGTCGAGACGTTTCGAGTTCGAGAGCTCTTCGTGGCAGGGACGGACTCCGCAACCGGTACGTTCAGGTCGGGTATCCTTTCTCACATCTATAAATTCACCACACGCATCGACCCCCTTGCAACCAATCCACTCGCCCGCTGATTCCGATCGAGAAAATCCGCCGCGGCAACACAGCGATCGATCTTTAGCTCCCGCGATCCGTCGCCTCCCCTCCCTCAAGGTATGCGCGCGCCAACGATTCCATGTTCGTTCATGCTGTGAGATTGATTTAGGTGTTCTTGTTGATGCGGTCAACGCAATTAGATCATTTTTAAGGAAAACGGTAACTGATAGCTGCTTGGTTGGCTTGGGAGTAGCAATTAATCGGTGAATCAGCCTATTAACTGGATTAATTGGCTGATCATTAATCGGTAAATTAAATAGTAATCTTCCAACATATATCAAAATTTTTTAAGGTATTATACCATACTCTCATGATCTCAACTATGTATTATAACGAATATGTTACGGTTTGGTCAAACTCTAGCTATTAAAGAGCGAGAGGGGAATGGGAAGGGTTAGGGGCCAAAATTTGGGCTTTGTATGCCCCTAAGTTAATGGGCCAGCAGCGATTAATCGGCCTGACAAGCTAAATAGGCGCTATTCGATTTGGCCATCCTAATAGTGGCGATTAACTGCCCGTTAATTAATTAATCGGATGAATTCTTGAACAGTGAATTAGATAATGAGATTCGTGCCGATTGCTACCGTGTCGACCTAAGATTTTGTTTCTATGCTGATAGATTGAAAGACAATCAAGTTTTTGTTGAGGACGAGCGAGTTTATCTCGATCAATTCTACTAGTATAGATTTCAATCGAATGCCCGTGGGGGCTCATCTAGGGTTGATCAATAGGTTTTGACCGGTTAGTTCTGGGCCTGCCTTTTCACATCCTTGTTTATTGCTGCATCAGGTACTGATCCACAGTCTGGCTTAGTGGCTTTTATAATGGATGTTGCACAAATCTGCTTAATTTAAACCGGAAATAGATCCTAACATAGATTATTGCCTTTTCATTTTTTCTATGCGGTTGTTATTCGTTTTTTTGTTAATTCTGAACTGCGGATTTACTATCTGTTACTCCCTTGAACTATAACCACAACATTTATTTTGGATTATTGGGAGTATTAGATTTGGATTATCTCAGTCTTTCTTGTATTTTGTTAATTTTAACTGCAGAATAACTATTTGTAGATTTGTAATAAGATATAATTTATCTTAGTCTTTGCTCTATGATTGTTGATTAACTTGGTCAACTAAAAATGCTCTGTTTGCAATTTTCAGTTATGCATACCTACCACATCATTTAGATTAGTGCCCTTTGACTCATGGCTTTGCTAATCGATTTATCTATTCATGTAAGCTTCTTCCTTGGAGATTTATCCTGCTTTGTTGTAATTTCCAATTATGCAGATGCAGATCTTCGTGAAGACACTCACCGGCAAGATCATCACGCTTGAGGTCGAGTCCTCTGACACAGTCAACAATGTGAAGGCGATGTTCCAGGATAAGGAGGGTATCCCGGTGGACCAGCAGCGCCTCATCTTTGCTCGCAAGCAGCTTGAGGATGACCGGGGACACCTTGATTACAATATACAGAAGGAGTCCATCCTCCACCTGGTGCTCAGGCTCAGGGATATCCAGATCTTTTTGATGACAATCACTGGCAAGATCATCATGTTTGAGCTTGAGTCCTCCGACACAATGGATAATGCAAGGCGAAGATCCAGGATAAGGAGGGTATCCCGCCGGACCAGCAGGGCCTCATCTTTGCTGGCAAGCAACTGGAAGATGGCCGGACCCTGGGCGAATATAACATCCAGAAGGAGTCGACACTCCACCTTGTGTTGAGGCTTATGCAAATCTTCATTAAGAGTTTAAGACCCTCACTAGCAAGACAATCACCCTTGAGGTCGAGTCTTTTGACACGATTGACAATGTCAAAGCAAAGATCAGGGACAAGGAGTGCATCCCTCCAGACCAGCAGTGGTTGATATTTGCCTGCAAGCAACTTGAGGACCATCACCTTGGAGGTTGAATCATCGGGCACCATTGACAACGTGAAGGCGAATATCCAAGACAAGGAAGGCATCACCCGGACAGCTCGACGACGGATGCACCCTTGCCGATTACAACATTCAGAAGGAGTCTATACTCTACTTGGTGCTCTGTCTTCGTGGTGGCCAGTGAATTTCTTTGGGCTCCCGGAAGTTTGGTTCGCATGTCTGTTGAGCCTGGTGGCCTCTTCGTTCGTCGACGTCGTCTTTTGGTTACGTGAAGTTTGTGTCATGTGTCGTTTCTGCACCGCTTTATCCGTGTGCAATTTGTGAGAACATCTGATGCTGCCTTTGAGCAGCTGCTTGGTCTATGTTATGAATAAGTTGACCTCAGTCCTCTTGATATTTGAAGACCTGTGTTGTGTTGGTCCTGTGGTCTTTTTTGCTACTCCCTCCATCAAGTCTTGCACGTGTATCTAGATCATCAATTTAACTTATAAAATAAATTGTTTAACATAAAAAATTTATCATTAGAAAATAGAATATTTAACGTTTCTAATGATATGTTTGTTGTAATGTATGCCTCTTATTAAGTTGGTCAAATTAACGACCTAAGTACACGTGCAAGACTTGTAAACTGAGATGGAGGGGGTATCAAAGATCGTAACTTCAGATTTGGTGTTTCCATTTTTACTGGTCAGTTCCAAACATCTAATTTATGAAATAGGCATACCCTGAATTCTTCTTGATACGGGAACATCATCATAGATGTTCAGGTCGTCGCGTTTCCAGTCTGCCACTGAACTTGCGTGTGTTGTTGTTTGCAGGTCTAGCGATGCACACCGGCATGATTTCGTCTGAAATTAAATAAGTTGGGTGATTGTTGTATTGCCGATGTTCAGATCGTCTATATAAAGCCGCTGTTCAGCGAAATCTGCAGATTGCAGGTTTCCTTTTCCTGCTAATAACATGTTGCAGGTTTCCTTTTCCCGCACTAGGGCATCTTCAACACTGTCCATCAAAACGAACACCCATAAAATTTGCAGGTTTCCAGTTTGCCCCGCTTTATATATAATGCAAACATCATAGTACACGGCCGAACGTTACAAGATAATTTGAAGACCCTCTTACAAAGCAGATCTTTGTGAAGACACTCACTGGCAAGACCATCACTATCGAGGTTGAGTCTTCCAACACAATCGACAATGTCAAAGCGAGGATCCAGGATAAGGGGGGCATAATCTTTGCAGGCAAGCAGTTTGAGGATGGACGCACCCTTGATGATTACAACATTCGCACCTGGTACTTCACCTCTGTGGAGGCATGCGGATCTTTGTGAAGACCTTGACCGGCAAGATCATTACCCTAGATGTTGTGTCTTCTGACACCATTGACAATATTAAGGCCAGGATCTAGGATAAGGAGGGTATCCCTCGGATCAGCAGCGTCTGATCTTCGCCTGCAAGCAGCTAAGGATGGTTGCACTCTGACGGATTACAACATTCAGAAGGAGTCTACTCTCCACCTGGTGCTCCGCCTTCGTGGTGGCCAGTGAGTTCTTTGAGCCCCTAGAAGTTTGGTTCGCAACTCTCTCCTTGATGACCTGTGAATAGTTTGAATTGAAACTATAGTTTCAGTCAGTTTTTCTGTTGGACTGCTTTTGGATTGGATAAAATAGGCTAATCCCTTGAATTAATTTAGTTTGGTCTGGGTTTGTACCTATTATTGGATTGGTTCGATTTAGTCTGGACAGAGACCCATCAGTCTCAAACGGTTTCAATCCGTAATCCATAGACAGCAACCAAATTGTCGAACCAGACATGCATCGCGTGAGAGATGCTACACCTACATAATGTTTCTTATGTACCTTACGTATGGTCTGATTTGGCAGATTTTTATTGGGT